TGGGTTTGAACTCGAGACTTTGTTCGAATTTATCAACCATGATCTTTTTGCAGACTCGACCACGCCTCCAACACAATTAAGCGTTACGTGTCAATTGGTTATGCGCCATTGAGGCCATTGACTCCGATTTCAGCCTGCTTTTCTTTTTGGATTTGCTTCCATAGCCTTTGTCCAACCAAGAACAAACTACAAGGCAGCAGTTGTTTGATTTTGGAGTTGTCTCTCCTAGAAGAGTGGCTGTCCCCAGCTAACGAGCCTCATCTGCCCGAGGGTTCGAACTCCAGACTTTTCGGTTTAGCAACCATGAGCTTTACCGACTCGACCACGCCGACCCCAATAACCGTGTGTTTTAAGGGTTATTCATAATTGATGTTATGTTTATTTGATAATTTTAAAATTTCACTCCCCTCCCTACTGTAACTTATTATCACAAAAAAACCCAGACCTCACATTAAAAAGACGTCACACCTCAGATATATTTTTGTCTTTTAAAACAAGGATTTCGGCTGAGCATGGGCCTGACCACACTATCCCTTCATATGCTGACGTAACAGGTAAACTCTAAATCTACCCAATTCTACTTCACCTGCCCAGTGTCCCGCAAAGTCTCAGACATGTTTTTATCATTTAAAAAAAAATTCTGGCCGAGCATGGCTCTGACCACACTATCCTTTTATATGCTGAGGAAAAAGAAACAGGTGAACTCTAGTTCACCTGCCCTTTATCCCGCCAAGTTCCGAAGGTAACTTTAACATTCACATCTATATATATATATATATATATATATATATATATATATATATATATATATATATATATATATATATATATATATATATATATATATATATATATATATATATATATATATATATATATAAAAATAATTAACATGGTGTCTCGAACCCGTGCCACCCGCATGGAAACCTATTACATTAACACCTTAGCTACACAGGTTCTTTCCGACGGGGACGATATTTAGTCTATATTGTGTTTTGATTCTGCGTAAAAAAAAAACTTGATTTACGCGAACAGGCCCTAGTATTATTACAAATTAATTTTTATCCCAAATTAGCCAGAGCTAAACAAACATAGATTTATATAAAATAATTAAGGCCTGAAATAGTTTAGTATTGAAACTCATTACCATCTAGATCTAGATCTAGATAGAATTCTCTAGATTCTAGATTTTCCGACCGGTTTCGTTAAGTCTAGTCAAGTCTTTCCGTAGTTCTAGATCTAGAACCTAGATAGTATAGATAAATCCCTTGTATTCTTGAATTAGATGATCCTTGAAACTAAAAAGCAAAGATTTATGTCAAATATTTAAGGACTAAAATAGTTTAATAAAGAAACTCAGTAATTTATTATGATTTTATAATGTTTTTTATTTTTAACTAATTAATTTTGGTTTGAACTAGATTCTAGATGTATAGCTTTTCCTTCCTTCGACAGCTGATCTGTAGATTCTAGATCTAGAGAAATTTATTGTGTACTCAAAGTAAAAGAACTGTTGAAAATTGATAATAGTGTTGGAACCTAATAAAAATAGCGAACGGACGAATCGTTAAAGCTATAGCTGACAGAAAATTAGCTTTATAATGTGCCAAACTTTTGAATGGGCAAGAAAATCTTTGATGGAAGCCACCATTATGGTTGTAAAAAGTAAAAACATCATGTGACGTCACTATTCATCCTAAGTACAAGAGTCATTTTTCTGAACTTTTATAATTAACGTTGTTAATCTACCAATGAATGCATCAATAAATTAATTAACGTTTTTAAATTAATTTGTGATTAACAGTTTGGTCAAAAAGAACATTGTTCTCTACCTAATTACGTTTTTTACAGCTCTACACATAGTGCCGAATCTCTCCTCTAACCAAACAGACAAACAAAATAAAACAAATACATATTCAAACATGTAAACGAACTTGAGTTTTAGTGGTATATAGATAGATAGATAAATAGTCTAGGAGCATCTTTTAGAATATTTTTGCCCATTTAATTTCTAGGCACTGTAGGGTCATCTTTAAAGTATTTAAAATAATTTGCCAATATTCGTTTTACCACTTTTTCAATAAGATCCGAAGAGTAATTATGTCCATATATATTTGCATACACTGCAGATGCATCTTTAAAGTTATTAAGTTTAAATTCATTAGAAATATTTCAAGGACATCCAAACAGTATTTGTACCCATCATCATTTTACATATTACGTCGGAGGCATGTTAAAAGTATTTATATACATGTTCATTATAATACAAAGGCATCCATAGGGTAATTATGCCCTTATACATTTTTATAATTTTTGGGGGAAATTTTTACAATTTTTAAGGGCATTTGCAGAGTAATTAAGCTCATATTGTTTTTGATAAATTGTAGGGGCATCCTTTATAATTCATTCGGTTCGATGCATTATCAGTGGCATAACTACCGTAAAGCTAGCCTAAGCAAAGCATAAGGACCCTCTTTAAAAAAAAAGTAAAACGCCAGATTGAAATTTTAATATTAGTTTAAATATAAATAATTGTAAAAAAGAAAAGGAAACTTCAGTTTCTTTTCTATTGTAGAAATAATTAAAAGTTCCAAAAAGGCCCCAAGTCTTTTCTTACTTTAGTGGGATTTAGTGGGGAGGGGTCGAACAGGGCCCATCCCTAATATCACTACAGGCGTTGCCGCATGATCGTGCAAGCCATTGAGAGAATTAGCGTATAAATAAAATTGAACTTCGATATTGTGTAAGATCGGCATCCAGCACCCGTAAATCTTCTATATGCATCGCTACAAACCTCAACTAACTGGAAAATTCCCAACCCCATCCAACAGACCTGCACCTTTCTCCCAGCTGTCTGCCCTTCACGAAATTCCATCTAACTAAACATTCACGATAACAACTGAAACATTTAAAAAAAAAATTAACCATGGACAGTGTTCTCACAACCAACTGAGTCCAACATTTGTCAATATTTTTCTTTACCTTGATGACATTTCATTTGTTGATCTAATCATTCTTTAATCAATATGGCGCTACCAACACTATACGTTTTTGATATTCATCCAATCGCCTTGAAAATTTGGGAAGTCGTTTTCGTTGAGAATATTCCAAAGCAAGTGTTTTTTTCAAGACATTTTTCCTGAAAATGTGCATGAAAGAAACTCCGACTTTTGGGAAGGTTTCTGTCATTAATTTTTAATTTCTGAGTGTGGCGCTCCGGCAGTAAGGCGGCGCAGCTTATCACCCAGAGTTTTCCAGCAACTATCTTTGCACCTGGGGTCTGTCGATTGGGTGTCTGGCAAAGCAAGTAAGCGTTACTTCTTGATTCAGTGGTCAAATTGCAGCCGGCACCTCGGCATTACGGCGCCTTCCCTTAGGTTGATCCCGGGCATCAACATAGCTCTGTACGCCACTGTCATACATATATACATACAATCATATATATATATATATATATATATATATATATATATATATATATATATATATATATATATATATATATATCTATATGTATATATATCTTGATCGATAGCCCGAAAAAACTTGAAGTATCAAATGCATAGTTCTTAAAATGTGTACACTTTAAAAAAATTAACGTTTTTGCGTTGAAAGAAAATGTGTATTTAAAAAATAAATATGCGGGAGAGATCTCCCTTAAACTTTCTCGAATATTCTTATATAACATTGCGGGGATGGCAACTCGGGATATAGACATGATTTTTAATTCATTTTTAACTAAATAAACTTTTAAAAATAGAATAGTGTCTTCTAGAAAAAAAAAGAATTGCGCACCAAGTGAACGGCAATAAATATGTGTATAATAGTGCTTAATATTAGTACTTTATAAACTCTTATTTGTTTTTGAAAAATCAGAAATAGCGTAAATTAATACTTCCTGTGAACAGAAAATACTCAAAATTTGACAGAAGGCAGAGAATTGGATTCTTCACTTACATTTGAAATTTCATTTATCTATTTGAAACAGTTCTCAAGTTATAGGCTTTTGAAAAATTTAAAGTAGAATAAGTTCCACTTCTAGTTACCGGAAATCTCTGAAATGTTATACAGAGCTAGAAATTTGATTTATACCTATATATGAAATTTCATCAACCTAAATGTGACGGTACTCAAGTTTTCGTGTTCACATACTTACACACATACGCACATACACAGATACAAACATAGATACACACACAAACATACGGATAAGATTGCAAAACTATATTTTTCCTACTCAGGGAGGTGTAAATCGTAGAAATTTGTAAAAATATCGATTTCTATTTTTCCCTTGATTACAATACTTCTTCTATACATCGCATACGAGAAAGTAAAATGAACTAAATAATTGATAAAGCCAATAACAGAATTATTATTGATTGTAAATACAACTCAATTACATAATTAAGTAAAGGCCTAAATCTTTGTATAAACAAGCGAAAGTTGAAGATTGAAGAAAGCCGAACTGGTTTTATATTGCTCTACTCAGGCAACGGTTTGAGCTGTTCCTTAAACCAATAGAATATTCCAAGAGAGATAATCACATGCATGTATTGTAATAGCTATTTAATACAATGCATTACACTTATTAGCAAAGAAAGATCGTTTCAAACATAAAAACATTCACCGATTTCTCCATTTAATATCATAAAAGTTAAAATTTGAAAATATTAACAGATTGATGTATTTTTAAATCTGTGGGTTCCAGAAGTTGGCAAATGTTTTTCAGGCAAGTTTATTCCGCGCAAACCTCTGGCTGCCATATACATAACATGCACGTGTGGTGTAAATGGTGCCCATCAACATACACTTTACCTGTGGTGTAAATGTAGCACATCAACATACAATTTACCTGTGGTGTAAATGGTGCCCATCAACATACACTTTACCTGTGGTGTAAATGTAGCACATCAACATAATCTTTACCTGTGGTGTAAATGGTGCCAATCAACATACAGTTTACCTGTGGTGTAAATGTAGCACATCAACATACACTTTACCTGTTGTGTAAATTGAGCCCATCTGTGCTGTGAATCTGAGTGGGTAGGTGACGCCCAACACGATGGGGTAGAGTTGAAAGTCGGTGTGGTAGGACAGGACCAGTACAGGGATGGAGGCCAGCAGGAAGACGGCATCATACGCTACCAGCGACAGCAGCAGCATGGAGGTGGGGGACCAGAGGCGCCTGTTGGTCAGCACTACCCCAGTCACCAAGTTGGCCAGCACGCCAAAGCTGGCCAGACACAGGCGGAAAGTGGTGAAGACGTTAGAGATAGAAGGCTCGACTGTAGCGTCAGCCGTCTCAATGTTTGACGTCATCTTCGCCGTTGACGTCATAACATCTGCAGCCTCAAGGTTGTAGGCTATATCAAGGGATGACGTCATGTTAAAAACATGGCATAATGTTGGACGATCTTTGCAGTTTTTGACACGGCTGTGACAGGTTGTGTCACCTCTGTGACAGGTTGTGACACCTCTGTGACAGGTTGTGACACCTCTGTCGCAGAGATATTGTCAGTGGTGACGTAGTTGTGGTGAAGGTGTAGAACGTTTCGACGTGCCTATAACGTATGATGAGATACTTCCTTGTCAAGTCTTATCAGCTATAAAGAATCATCTACTATTATTATCAGCTATAAAGAATCATCTACTATTATCTTATATCATACTATATCATCGTATATCATCAAATATAATAAGATGCTAGTACATATCAACAGCCCAGGTCTAACTATTTGCATCCATTTTAGGCAATAAATGTTTAAAGTGATCACTATGTCAGTAGTTTTTTTCAATACATATACCAATTCCAAGAATATAAGAACAAACAATGATCCACACATAACTTTAACCTATACCTCCTATGAAAGTTGTAATCCGTTAATCAGTGCTTCATCTACACATGTAGCTACTGGCTCCTATTGGACGATCGGGATGAGTAGAGCTCTGTAAAACATCGTAGATATATTCATCTTTACAAACACAGTTGATTAGGGGTGAATACAATGTGATTTCAAATGGCGGTCTAAAATAGCATTATACTTGCATAATTGTAAGATTAAGTGTAAAAATCGTAAGCTGAAGCAAAAGTATAAGACCAAGCAAAAGTGTACGTGTACGATGTATTTATTGAACTCCTTAATAGACAAAAATTTTTTAAAGATTGGTTGGGACCAAATGGAGACGAAGAATAACAAAACTGTCATAATCTGGACCAACAGATTCTAGACCAACAGAATCTAGAGCACAAAATGCGAGGCTTTATTTGCAATGAAATATATACTTAGACGAATTCGGATGTTTTTTCCCATTACAAAATAAAGTAATAAAAAGTAATTTTTAGCGCAATTTCCATACGGACAATTGCGATTATTAACTCGTCATTTCTGGTTTCTCCCGACGTATTGTTTGTTTTAAGGGAAGCAATTGTTTTTTAAAACTTATCAAGTTATGAATGCTAAAGGACTAAAAGTAAATAACTTTCAGAAACACTTTGAATTTTTATGAAATGTGATACATTTTCTTTACTTTTGTTTAATACATATGCCGTTAATTAACACTATAAGTTTGGAAAATGAAAATTGTTTTATAACACCTTCAATATTACTTTTGTGTATCATTAATTTAGACGATGAGCACTTTAGATATATCATAATATGGCGATGAAGTCTATTTTTTTTCCTCTATTGCTTTGTAATTTGCTGTCCACCCGCTCTCCGCCCGCCCGCACATACAGAATTGAACTATATATATCTATATCTATAGCTATAGCTATAGCTATAGCTATAGCTATAGCTATAGCTATAGCTATAGCTATAGCTATAGCTATAGCTATAGCTATAGCTATATCATCTATATCTATATCTATATCTATATCTATATCTATATCTATATCTATATCTATATCTATATCTATATCTATATCTATATCTATATCTATATCTATATCTATATCTATATCTATATCTATATCTATATCTATATCTATATCTATATCTATATCTATATCTATATCTATATCTATATCTATATCTATATCTATATCTATATCTATATCTATATCTATATCTATATCTATATCTATATCTATATCTATATCTATATCTATATCTATATCTATATCTATATCTATATCTATATCTATATCTATATCTATATCTATATCTATATCTATATCTATATCTATATCTATATCTATATCTATATCTATATCTATATCTATATCTATATCTATATCTATATCTATATCTATATCTATATCTATATCTATATCTATATCTATATCTATATCTATATCTATATCTATATCTATATCTATATCTATATCTATATCTATATCTATATCTATATCTATATCTATATCTATATCTATATCTATATCTATATCTATATCTATATCTATATCTATATCTATATCTATATCTATATCTATATCTATATCTATATCTATATCTATATCTATATCTATATCTATATCTATATCTATATCTATATCTATATCTATATCTATATCTATATCTATATCTATATCTATATCTATATCTATATCTATATCTATATCTATATCTATATCTATATCTATATCTATATCTATATCTATATCTATATCTATATCTATATCTATATCTATATCTATATCTATATCTATATCTATATCTATATCTATATCTATATCTATATCTATATCTATATCTATATCTATATCTATATCTATATCTATATCTATATCTATATCTATATCTATATCTATATCTATATCTATATCTATATCTATATCTATATCTATATCTATATCTATATCTATATCTATATCTATATCTATATCTATATCTATATCTATATCTATATCTATATCTATATCTATATCTATATCTATATCTATATCTATATCTATATCTATATCTATATCTATATCTATATCTATATCTATATCTATATCTATATCTATATCTATATCTATATCTATATCTATATCTATATCTATATCTATATCTATATCTATATCTATATCTATATCTATATCTATATCTATATCTATATCTATATCTATATCTATATCTATATCTATATCTATATCTATATATATATATATATATATATATATATAATAAGCGGCTAGGCATTGCTATAGATTTTGGAACCATAAAAGTAATCACTTCACATGTCGTGCTGTTTACTTGCATCGCAGGTCTTATCATAGGTAATAGAGAAGGGTTTGTTTATATAACGACTTAAGTTTATTTTATAGTTGCCACTGTTTTTACTCTTTCGCGTAACGTAAAGCAAATATTATTAAATACACGCACATTGCTAAGACATATTAAACGGATCAACGTGAAATATCATTTTCGTTTAGATTCCTAGAAAAATTAGATAGCCCAATAGGGTCGAGAAAACGAATTAATTAAACTGTTTTGTAATATTCCAAGGGAGATAATTTAAAAATAAATTCAACTCACTGTAATAAAAAAATGTGAATGCAAAATCTCCTAGAGGAAATTATTGTTGGAATAAAATAATTAGCAAAATGTGAATGCAAATTCTGCAGTTGTGTAAAAGGACATTATTGTTGGAATATTATAATTAGCATTGATTGATAAAAGGCAATCTTTTATTTATTTTATTCACTGTTTACTGATTATAATTATTAATCAACTATTCCGCACTATCATGTTCATTAGGTGCGCTATGGTTTTAGTCCTGAAACTCTATTTAAAATTTTAAAGATTTAAAGTACCGAAAATAAAATGCATGAAATGATAAAGTGCAATATGGTCGGTAAAACAAGCCTTTTATTTATTCTATACGTTGAACGTACTTTTCGTTGAACCAGGCGCGTCCGCCGGTGCTCGGATAGGATGCGATTTGGTGCAACAGGCTAGACTGTGAGCACTATGAGTTTATTTTTGTATTTAAGTCGTGTTTATGTTATGGGTGTTGTCTTTTGTGTTTATGTGTTGCGTTTATGTTTTCGTTTGTTTGCTTTGTGTTTGTGTTTTCTTTCGTGTTTGTGTTTTCTTTTGTGTTTGTGTTGTGTTTGTGTTTCTTTTGTGTTTGTGTTTATGCTGTATTGTGTTGGTGTTTGTTTGTGTTATGTTTGTGTTTTTGTGTTTTTGTGTTCCCATTTAAAAAAGATTTACCGTTTGTTTGCATTGTTGTTTGTGTTTTCTTTTGTGTTTGTGTTTTTACTTGTGTTGTGTTGTATTTGTGTTGTGTTGAGTTGTATTATGTTGTGTTTGTGTTAAGTTTGTGTTGTGTTGAGTTTGTGTTGTGTTTGTGTTGTGTTTATTTTTGTTCTGTTCCCAAGTTGGTAAGTTTAAAAAAGTTATATATATATGGTTTGGTGGTAAGGTGTCAGTCTCTCAATGGACGCGGACGCCCGGGAAAACACGTTTTTTGGCGTCGGTTTAAATGGATGGATGGATGGACGGATGGATGAATGGACGGATGGATGGATGGATGGATGGATGGATGGATGGATGGATGGATGGATGGATGGATGGATGGATGGATGGATGGATGGATGGATGGATGGATGGATGGATGGATGGATGGATGGATGGATGGATGGATGGATGGATGGATGGATGGATGGATGGATGGATGGATGGATGGATGGATGGATGGATGGATGGATGGATGGATGGATGGATGGATGGATGGATGGATGGATGGATGGATGGATGGATGGATGGATGGATGGATGGATGGATGGATGGATGGATGGATGGATGGATGGATGGATGGATGGATGGATGGATGGATGGATGGATGGATGGATGGATGGATGGATGGATGGATGGATGGATGGATGGATGGATGGATGGATGGATGGATGGAGGGATGGAGGGATGGAGGGATGGGTGGATGGGTGGATGGACGGATGGTCGAATGGTCGAATGGACGGATGGACGGATGGACGGATGGATGGATCGAAGGATGGACGGATGGACGGATGGACGGATGGATGGATGGAAGGATGGATGGATGGATGGATGGATGGATGGATGGATGGATGGATGGATGGATGGATGGATGGACGGATGGACGGATGGATGGATCGAAGGATGGACGGATGGACGGATGGAC